TGCCTCATTCCCAAAATGGCACCCCAGTCCCAACATTCAACATGACATGAAGTATCCTCACATTCTCTATTTTACAGAAGTGTACAGCTTCGGGACCCATGTTTACAACTACTCATATAACCTATATAATTAATACTGCTTGGCCTAACATAAAAATAAAAATAAGAATATGAAGAGGGAAGAAGAGAAGGATGTATATATGAATTTACTGTCCTGACAAAAGAGTGCTATTAATCTTCTCATCTGACTCTTGGAAAGGAAGCAAGTATATTCCCCAAAATGTCAACTATTCCTTTCAAGGTAAAACAATGATCCAAATCCCATCTGAAGCCTATTTATCTCTTAAAAGTCTAATCTTGACAGCAACCTTTAGATAGAAGCTTTGGCTTTGTTGCACCAATCCCAGGTTTGGTATTGGGGGGGTGTTGATGGTGTGTGTATGTGTGTGTGTGTGTGTGTGTGTGTGTCGACCCTGGGAGCACTGCTGGGTGCCACTGATTTGTTTACCTGTGTGCTGCTGACAGTTTCTCATTAGGTTTCTTTTGCACAACACTTCCAGGAGAGGAGACCAGAGTTTGCACTTCACAGCCAATGATGCGTGATCAATGTAGCTGATAGATTGGCACTGGCAATATAATTCCATTGAATGGCTTTTTAATGGATATGAGCGCTTCATTTACTAGTCACAATAAAAGTGCCTTTTGTGACTGAAGCAGGGTTGTGAGCCTATATGAGGAGGAAAACAATACACTGAAAGGGAAGCTTTGTTAAAATAACTCTGGAAGACAAAAGAATGTTTAGGAAATTATTTCATTGTTATCAGACAGTACTGAAAGTACAGTATTTGCAAGTACAAGAAAAAAATGCAGTTTAGCATTGCTTGTAGAGCCTTGTGAAACAGCAGTAAGCAAAGGAGAAATAATGAACAAGGGCAACACAACAACATCAGAACAATTTTATTTGTATTTCTGGGCCTCTTATAATTCTGTTTTTCACTTTGTACTGACCCATTAATACTATTTTCTACATCAAAGCCACTAATAAATAAAAAAAATTAAATTAAATTCACAATTTACAGCTAAGCTTCATTAGCTCTTAATTCTTTCACTGCTTTATTTCTGAACCACCTCTAAAGCCCTGAAATGTTTTCTTTCTTTGGTATGGTCACAAGGAGGCAGTGTTGCCACTCTCCTCACAGTCCTTCTGGCACCACTAAAGAGGTGATGGAAGGAATCTACTTGTTTAAGGTGTTATAGTACCCCTAATTTGCCACTGTAATCCTGTTGGTTTCACAGGGACAAAACAAAGTGGAAACACAGTGAAGCACTCTGGAATCCTAGTCCACGTGACATGAAGTGACACAGCAATCAGCTTGAGGACACATCAAGGTCTAATTACTCCTCAGGTGACAGGACCCACCTGACGTCCTCTCACTGAAATGGGATTTTATGAAGACTGAAAGCTGACAAGACAAGTGCTTCCATTAAAATCAGTTAGAATTTACATCAAGGCAGTGGGAACAAGACCACAGTGCTGATTAGATCCCTGCCTCTTGTTGAGACAGAGAGAAACACCAAAGGCCTCTGAAGGCAGAAGTGAATAGACATCATAGCTTGGGTGCATATACCGTACCAAGTATGACACCCTGGGGTGCTGCACAGGCTGTCTTGTTTTAGGTGCAGTCAACATCATATTTAGTGAGCTGGGACAGGCTGTGGAGCAAGAAAGGTGGCAGCCATTCTTTAATGATCAAAATAACAATTTGTCAATGTAATAGCATGATGTTCTTCATTCTTTATATTCATCTGATGGAACATTTCTCAAAGCTTTGTTTACTGTGTGGCTCTGGTCGGCTGTGACTTATATCAAAATTTTGCCACATAAGCCATGATTATTTTCAGTGCAACTGATGATATTGCAATCACTTAACGTATAGGCCTCCAACTTTGATTTAGACATTAATGACAATGTGAAGCTTTGCTTATGAAGATGGGAGCAACAGATGGCAAGCATATCTATAAATAAGTCACTCTTCTGAATAGGAGATTAGTGCATTTGAGGCAGTTTTTAATGGTCTCTGGGAGAGATTAAAAAGTACGCAGATTTATAACATGCTTGTCTTTGCAGTGAATCACTCAGAAACAAGAGTCTGTGCAAAAAAATCTCACGCATGCTTAAGACAGGACATGTCTTTAGTGCACTCCTGGAATTTCCTGAATCTTGCAATGCCACCAGGTGCATCACATAAAATTATTAACAAAAGCATTTTATTGCCTTACAAATAACATGTTGCTTCCATTTTCCCCTTGCATCTAAATCACTGCAGACCTTTCAACCCTGCAATCGACCTTCCTGAACAACATGCATTTTCATTTGTTTATTTTCTATGC